TGTGTGTGTGTGTGTGTGTGTGTGTGTGTGTGTGTGTGTGTGTGTGTTTATGTGCGATAATTTGTGTATATGAGACAGGGGCCATAGAAGCCAGAAGAGAATGTTGAATCCCTTGAAGCTGTAGTTATGGGTAGTTGTGCACTGCCTGTCACAGGTGCCTGGAACCAAGCTCGGTATACGAGTTCAGTGTGAGATTATATCTATTAAGACAACTCTCCAGAACCTTCCTCCTTTGGTTTTCCTTTTGTTTTGTTTTGCTTTCTTGCTAAAAACTATCTAAAAATATCTGAATAACAGTTTTTAAAAAATATATCTGTTGAAGAAATTTTAAAAATATGAGAAATATAGTAAATCCAGAAGGAAAAAAAAGAAAAGTTACTTTTGAATAAACAAAAGTAAGGCATACTTTATTTCTCAATAGAAATATGGCAGAATGTAAAAAAAGACATTTCTGAAATGTTAAGAAGACATACCTGCCTATCTGAATGATATGTTGACAAAAAACTATGCCTTAGAAGTGTAGTACAAGCCGGGTTTGGTGGTGTATGCTTTTTATCTCAGAACTTGGGAGGCAGAGGCAGGAGGATCTCCTTGAGTTCAAGGTCGGCCTCATCTACATACTGTGCCCCAGGACAGCCAGGACTCCATAGAAAGATATGCTGTCTCAAAACAAAAACATACAAAAAAATTTCCAAAAATAAAGAAGTAGTAGCAATTGTTAGGCATTAATTTCTTTATTAATTAACATTTTTTCTTTCCCGTGGTAAAAGGGAGTGCTAGAAGAAGTATATTTTTATTACAGATAAAAATTTCAGCAGTTTAGAATGAAAGGTCAAATATCCAGAAAGAGCTCATAAGTCCAGCTACGCAAACTGACATTTGCTTCAAGAATCCTGTGCCTAGCTGGGCGGTGGTAGCGCATGCCTTCAATTACAGCACTCGAGAGGCAGAGGCAGGCAAGTCTCTGTGAGTCAGAGGCCAGCCTGGTCTACAAGAGCTAGTTCCAGGACAGAAGAAAAAAGAAAGAACCCTGTTTCTATCCTGAGTGGAGACTAAATAGACATCATTAAGAAGTTTAGAAGTAAAGACAATAAAATCGTGTACATCTTGGCCAACAGTAATCTACATCAATATTGTCTGGATAGCTCTTCAGCTATGGAAACCTCAGCTGGCAGCTATTGAAGAGTGGACCAAAGTGAGAGAGAATAATGGGCTGTGGAACGACCGTCATGGGATACTGTCTCGTATTTAAAATGGAAACCACATGCAGAAACAGGAACCACACATGCAGAAAGATCAAATGAAGTGTCAGGGAGTGCACACGTCTTTCACCCCAGATCCCAGTTGGCAGAGGCAGGAGGATCTCTGTGAAGCTTGAGGCCAGCCTGGTCTATAGAGTGAATTTCAGGGCAGGCACAGCTACACAGAGAAACCGTTTCAAAAAAACAAACAAACGAAGCAACAAAAGGATCAAAAGAAGCCCAGAAGAAAAGAGTGTGACTTATATTTCTGTAACAAAGAAGTTTCTAGGACAGCTGATGAGGAGGTAAAAACAGGCAGGTTTTGGGGATGAAGCTGGTGACTACTTTCAGAGAGCCTTTAAGGAGAGAGGGATTAGCTGGGAGGAGGGGAACTCCCAGTTCTTGTTAAGCAATGGTTGTGACATCCTTACTGGTGAGTGCAGATTTCCAGGGAGGGGAATGATGCTATTTTATCGGACTTTTTGCACTAATGCCACTGAGAACTTGCTTTAAGCCACTTCTGTTCATGCTCACCTCGTGGAAGTTAGGTATACATCATCAGACTGGATGTCTGAGCTACAAGTGTGAAATTCTGGCATTTAAAGAGTGTATTTCTAACTTGACCATAGAAGCTTCTAGAGGATTCCCAACAGCAGCCAAACGCCCCAGAATCAACACAGGATGGAAAGATTACTTTGCACAGCTTAACTTTAAAGAGGAGAGAGGGAAGAAGGAAAGAAAGAAAATAAGGAAGGGAGAAAGAGGGAGAGTGAGAAAGAGGGAGAGAAAGAGGGAGGGAAGGAGAAAAGGAGGGAGGGAGGGAGGGAAGGAGGGAGGGAGGGAGGGAGGGGTGAGAGACAGAAGTTTTAAAACTGTGAAGGGCATAGGTGTTCTGAGAGTGGACACGGACATAGGTAGATTGATGACCAGAACGTAGCTGAACACAAACTTATCTCAAACTCCTTTTGTGAATTTTATACTTTAATATTTTTAAAAGATATCTTCATTTAACTAAACCTGAACATAAATGAACTCACCTGAAAAGCCTTCCGCGACTTTAATGTTGTGTCTTTCTAAAAGCGCTCTTCATTTCAGTACAAACGACTCAAAGGGTGAACCAAATGGCATTTCCACAAACCTTTCAGAAAATTTCAGCCTCTTCTGCATTCACTTTAGTCTGCTTCCCTTCGAATGACAGACCTACAGATCTATATTTTTATCGGCCCAAAGAGCCACCCCTTTCCTTCTCTGTTAATGGATAGCGAGTTGGAAATGCCTCTCTGGCAAGGCTAGATAAACTTTTTTAAAAAATCAAGACTCAGAAAGCAGCAGGGGTCAGGCGGGGTCATGGCCAGCCCTTGCAGCCATGTGTCCCCTTAGCAGAGAGATTAGGGCCTTGGTTTGGCCAAGGGGCAGCAGAGGGCACTCCAGGCCAGAACAGGTTAAGTTGTGGTCACTTTATCTCTTGTTGTTGACGCAAAGTCCTGAGGCCAAGGCCCAGGGTTTTCCTGCAGAAATGTGTTTACAAGCAGGTCAAGGACTTGCAGAGAGATAGCCATTAGCAAAACAAGTTTTCTATTGACAATGGCAAAGAAAGGTGTGTTTGCTGATGAATTATCACTTGCTCCTTAAAGTGGGAGAGAAAAGCTCATTCAAATCCTAAATCCCCAGCTTTCTCACCCACCATGGAAATTTCTCAGGAGTGAGTGGCTGCTGGCTTTGTGCACAGCCCCTTGCCATCTTCTCCACTGAGACCTGACCTGTGATGACCTCTTCCACCCTTGGCCAAAGTCTATTTAGTCCTTATTCAGATAAAGAAATGTTTTTACTCCAGAGTTAGAAATCTTGCGAATGTCAAAAAGGGCGAGGTTAACTAGGTATATTTTAGGAAGACTTCATTGCTTTAAAAGTGTTTGCTCTGAATAAATAAATCTGTGCAGATTTTCATAATTTGAAAATCAGTCATAGCCTCTAGGCTGATTATATTTTATTTAGGTGAGTCCAGTTTGTTGCTTGTTTTTTGTTTGTTTGTTTGTTTGTTTCTGTTAACTCTGGAGAAGAAAGTGGCCCAAAGGGAAGAGAGGAAACAAAATAAACGAATCAACAAACAAATCAGTAAAAAAACAAACAAAAAATAGTAAAACAAGGTTATTAGAAACAAAAAGACTAACAAATGTAAGTGTTCAAGGCTTTTAATGCAGAAGCAGCTCAGTTTGAGAAACAGATGTCACTGGCGTGGAAACGGAGGGGAAATCGTCATCTCTGCGCATGTCCAGTCTTATGCTAAAGAAGGGTGCTTGTGTCTCCACTAACTGGGAGATCTGAACTTGGGAATCTGCACATGGGCATATGAGCTGTCTCGTTAGAAAGATACTTCTCAATTAGTTTCCTTTTCATCCCCCCTTTCTTTCGGCTTCCAGCCTTCTGTCGCACACCCACACAGACACACAGAGTCCTGCACTTGCGAAGGGTCAGAAAGGTTCCCGGCCATTTCTCTCCATAGAAGCCCTGACAATGTGGCATGTGCAGTCTCGACAATGACATGCCACTCAAAATCCCCCCCTTCGGATTGTCCCTCCTTTTAAAGGAGACAGCCAATGTGAATGAAACACTTTTTCCCCCTGGGTACGTCTGGCTTGCTTTCATTAACCCAGATACAAAGTGCCACTCAGAAGCTTCGGACAGTAGAATGCTTTCTTCTCTCAACTAGCAATTCATTTGACCCTCCAGAATAGTATTAACGCGCCGTGGCTTTCTATGTGTCGTATTTGTTTTATACTCTCCCTGCTCCGCGAAGCATGCTTATCAAAATGGTACCGGTACCCTGCACCATACAGACTTCACGGTAAAAGGACGTCCTCAACGGTTTCATCTTTAACATGCGTCTGTCACTCAATTTGGAGAACTTTCTGCGGACTGCTTTCCAAGCTGTGAAAGATTAGCCTGATGTAGATAAGGCTATTCCCCAAACTCATTATCTGTCTTCCAAATGCACCTTAAGGACTCCTTAATAAAGTCAAGGTTACACGAAGAGTATTTTACTGGAAATCAGCAAAAGACTGCTAATAAATTCGCATTGCAGGCAGGGTATTGTGTTCCTGCCTCTCACCCTGAAGAGATGAGCTTTCTTTTTTCTGTTCTTTCTTTTTTTGTCAGTTTCTTTAAACCATAAAGTCTTTCTTAACCATACATCATTAATTAATCAGGAGGCAAACAGAATGAAAATAGATTAAAAAAAACAAAAACACAAAACCCTGCCCATTTGTCACCAAATGCAAGCCGTGTTGTATACATCACAGAGATATCTTGGATGTCTACTTTACCCCCAAACCAAGACTTTCCACAACCTGTTTCCTCTCTATTAGTGACGGGGTGCTAAACACACACACACACACACACACACACACACACACACACACACACACCTTTTCCTGAGAAACACTGTTCCCAGCTCTGACAGCTTTACTTGTGATAAAACAGTTGCAGCCCATATAATTCATACAGCAGGTGCCTCTCCATGTCTTACGCGAAAGACAGCACTTTATTGCCTACTTAGTAGCTCAGTTTCTCCTTAACGACTACAATATGAATGCCCCGTATTGTCTACGTAAGAATCATCTCCGTCCTTGCCAAACTCTACCATTTCTCTGCCTTATTTACCAGTTTCAGAATCTCACCAATATTAGGAATATGGCTTCATTACTTCATATTAGAAAAGCAGCGAGGACAGCTCCTCCCATACAGTTCCTATGCTGTGGCGTTTTCACTAGCTTGCTTTTGTCACACGCAGGGAATCTGGATGCAAACCTGCTTGTGGGCTGAGCAAGGCAGGCTTCCATCCATTGCTCTTCCTCACACCCTGAGCCGTGCTGTTGTCATTTGTTGAGACGTTAGGCTGTGCCTCACCTTCCTCTGGTCGAAATCAGACTCAAAGACAGTTTACGTGAATCATCTGCCTTTAGCGATAATATTGGCCTCACTCTACAATCACAAGCTGCAGACGTGGAACAGTGGTCGAACCAGGATGGAGGAAAGGGGAGGTAATGCATTCAGGGGCTGCACCCTGTTGGCCCCTTGGGGAATATAACAGTGGGAGCCTGAGAGCACAGTTCCACGTTCATCATGCGAGCAAATAATGCCTCACGGTCACAGTCATGGCCACACAGGGTCTTCTGCAATTGGGGAAAGAAAGAAGGGCATTCTAAAACATAAACTCTTCAAGGCTTTTTCCTGTCCACTCTTCCCCCAACATGGATGCCTTAGTCCTGTTCTGAGGTAGGCCGATCTTAGTCCTGGCCAGTGTGATCCCTGGCAGGCGGAGTGAAGAGGTGGAGAGCCCTGAAGCCCAAGGCCAAGGCAAGGGCTACAAGCCAATGGGGTCTCTGAAGCAAGACGTCCCCAGGGTGAGTGTCAGGGTGCCTGCTCCAGATGGTCATGGTAGAACTAATCCTAAGGCCTCAGGGACAATTAGTCTGGGCTGAGTCATTAGTAATTCCCCCCTCCCCATTAAGGGGTAGAGGTTGCAGATGACCCATAACTGAAAGCCCTTAAAATGTTTTTATGACCTACACATGCGAATCCCCCAAGCAGCCCATGAAGTAAAGGTCGTACCGCCAATGTTTTATCCATTTTAAATTTAGAAAAAAACAAGCATTGTGTGTTTGAATTTCTATCTATCAACCTTCATGTGATCCCCATTTCCAGTGCTCTCCTCTGCTGTGGAGTCACTAGGAGAGACTGAGGTTTGCATAGGAAAAAATGTCTTTGAAGATCAGCCGATAATATCATTCTGGTTTTATGACACTGGATGATTTTTTTGCTTGCAGCTTCGGGCCTCGTGAGGTCCTGAGATCAACCCTCAAAACCATCTTTTCTCCCCGGTTCAGGAGTGGTCCTGAGGCCTGGGAGTGGACCGGCTAAGGAGAAATGGCATAGTGGGGCTGCTAAGGGGAAGTCAGCATCAGCCTCGAATAAACACCCCAGTCCACAGTGCGCTCCCATTTTTATTTTGTGGTAAATGACAAAAATAATGAACGAGAACGGTACTTTGAACTTCTGTACAGCTTGTTTTTACTCTGTTTTCCTACCTGTGATTAGATCATATTACCTCATCATCAATAAATTGTTGATATTAGAAGTTCTACTAAGAGAATATAATTAAAATGCAAAAAAATTTTATTTAATAAATATCTATGGCAGAAAATTTATCTCTAAACAAATAGTGACTCACTTTATCCTCCATATGCATAGATTGAGCATGTATATGTACATGACAGATTCTCCACAATTATACATGTGTAAAGATCTACATTCTAATTTGTTTCTAAGTTAGGTGTTTATGTTTTGACCAAAGTTAATTTTTCTAAGATTTGTTTTATTAGTTTTAATCCTTTTTATGTTTGTGGGCGGGGTATGTGCACAACCCTCTGATAGAGCCTTTATCAGAGGAAGGAAGAGGGCGTAGATCCCCTGGAAGTGGAGTTACAGGCAGCTCTGAGACCCCTGAAGAGACTGCTGGAAAGTCAGGTCCTCTCCAAAAGCAGCATGCTTCCTGGACATCTGAGCCATCTCTCCAGCCCCGTCCCAAATTTCTAATGGTGCCTAAAAATAGCCTCAACGAGTTCCCAGTTGCTGAATCTTCCACAGGGAGATTTTGAAAGCTGATGCGGCATCGAGTACCTCTGAGGTACTAACAAAGCTTGATTTCATCAGAGCGGACTGCAGAAAGCTCAGGTTACCATCATTAATAAAGTACTGGGTCACTCCAACTCACATCATGTCTTTTGTTTCTATAATTCTATATACATGTATATGTTCATGTGTGTGTATATATATATATATATATATCTTTGTATACATTATTCAGTTGTATTTAGAGGTAAATACTGATTTTACCATCCATATTTGCTGGGGGTTTTTTTACTCAAAAGTTTAGATTATCCCCTGTTGCTTCCCGTCTTACTTTATTTGACATTGCACCTTTTATGTTCTTCTCTTAAGCCTTTACTCATACCTTCTATATGTACTTATGTCATAGTAAAGAGAATTGTTGTGATCAAACATGATGTTAGGTGATATGGAAAGGTGTTATGTTCAGTTAAAGGTTGGTTCAAAAGAATTAACTTCTCAAGTCTGAAGAGATGACCCAATGGTTAAAAGCATTTGCTGCTCTTCCAGA